AAAAAAAAAATGCAGTCAGTGAAAGGATAGTATTCATATGCCTATTTTGATGATTCAGGGCTTCTCTAAGGACAATGAGGAAATGTGTATGCCAGTGCTGTATCCTTTCACCGTATTTATTCACCCTGTATGCTAAGCAAATAATCCGAGAGGCTGGACTATATAAAGAATGCAGCACAGGATTGAAGGAAGACTCTTTAACAACCGGAGATAGCCTGAAATAACCTTGCTTATTCAAGGAGGCATTTATTGATAAAGAACAAAGACTACAGCTTTCAGAATGAATTACACTTCAACAAAAAAACACAAAAACAATTTAAAATTCCTCACAATTGGACTAATAAATAACATCATAATAAATGAAGAGAAGTCTTAAGTTGTCAAGAACTTAAGTTTTATTGAATCTACAATCAACACTCATAGAAGCAGCAGTCAGGAAGTCCAAAGACACTGCTCTGGGCAAATCAGCAGCAAAAGATCTCTTTTAACACGTTCAACAAAAGCTAGGACATCACTTTGAAGACAAAACTGTGCTGTATTCAAGTCAGGGCACTTTCAATGGTCTCAAAGCATGTGCGAGCTGGACATTGACCCAGGAAGACCGAAGAACTGACGGCTTGAATTATGACGGTGACAAATGACAAATGCACCATGGACCGCCAGAAGAACAATCAAGTCTGCTTTTGAAGTTCAGCCAGAAGGCTCCTTGAAGGAAAGAGGACTAGACTTCATTTGTTGTACTCTGGCCATCTGTCAGGAAGAACCATTCTCTGGAGAAGAACGTGCTTGGTAAAGAAGGGGATGAGTAAACAAGATCAATGTGACTGCACAGGAACTGTACTCATCAGCTCAGAGAGGAAGGATCCCAAACTGGGCAGGGACTGGGCAGTGTCACATCTGCTGTACATAGTAGGGTCACTGTGAGTTGGAACGGCTCAGAGTATATAGAAACGATGTAACTCAGAATGGACGCCAGGGCAAGGGTTTGTTTTGTTTACTGCTAAAAATGGCTAAATCTTTTTTCCCCTAACCTTGCACTAAGGAAATAATCTTGTAATGTGTTTTATGAGTTCTAGTGCAAGACTTGGCAGAACCTGGCATAAGAACTATTACGTAATTTATGTGCTTCAAAATAGCTTTGAACATTTAAAAGACATGACAAAACATCGAGGCAATTCAAGATGAAGTTTCAATAGCCATTGTTCAATAGCCACGGACTCCTTTGAAAAATAAACACCATTAACTGCCGGCTGCAAAACACTCATCATTCCAGTACTTTCTTCCACTTTTTAATTTAGTAAAAAATGAAAAGTTCTTACAGTCACTAGGAAAAATTTATGGCAATTAAATTCAATTCATGCACTATTAAAATCCAAAACTATAATAGTAAATACTCTAAGGATCAAAAGCTGAGAAATGCTTTGGCAGCTGCTATGTGAGCTAAAAAAAAAAAAGGCTCTAATGAGAAAGGAATGGTCCTGGCCTTCGAAGCTCTGCTTAGCTCATCTCTGCACTGAAGGCTTTGTGCGCTACGTGGTATTTCAACAGCTTAAACCTGCTGGGAATTGCACATGCTCAGAATCTGGAAGTTGTGTGCCTTGTAATTTAACATTTCAACGAAACTCATGAGAATAGCACATTAAATCTTTAAGATGATGGCACCTAAAGCATTCAAACGTGGACAGTTAGCAGCTTTTGAATGTCTCTTTAAGACCTTTCAAAGATTACAAAGCACAAAAAAACCAACTATGAGTAACATGAAAGGTATTTAAGCTGTTTTGGGCACACGAGAAAATGAAGTAAGATTTTAAAAGTTATTCAAGATGATTTTAACAACTGCTTGTCCTACGTTCTTGGCAGAACTGAGTCAATGCTGACTCACAGTGACCCTGTAAGACAGGGTAGAAATGCCCCTGTGGGTTTGTGAGACTAAACTCTTCATGGGAGTGTAAAGCCCTTTCTACTGTGGAGCAGTTAGTGGTTTCAAACTGCTGACCATGCTGTTAGCAGCCCAATGCATAACCACTACGCCACTAAGGCTTCTACTACTATAGTAGAATCAATAATCAGGTGCTGAATGAATACACACATCCAACTTCAGATGTAATATAACTGTCGTTTAAAAGAATTCTGTCCCCTCACCATGACTCCGGAAGATATAAGGTGTATACCTTATCTTAAATTCTTGATTTTTATATCTACCGATGATATATCAAGCTAGCCAAAAGATAAAATATTATGTGGTCTTTAGGTAACGATGCAAAATCTTTTAAAGGCGTTTAGTTATTTGTTAAGCTCAGGAGAGAATACCTATATGCAAAGTTCTTACTAATGAAGTCCATCTGTGGAACAGCAGCAACATGGATCTTGACCTCTTTCGTCCCTCCTACCAGGCTTAGGTAGTCCACTGTCCATTTGCTCGTACATGGCCCCAAATCAATTCCTTCCAACACAAGTGGTTTTCTCTGTATTTAAAAGGAAATAGGAAGATAAACAATCAGTGAGCAGCAACAATACATTAGCACTCAACTACCATCAAGTAGATCTCAACTGATAGAGATCCTATAGGGCAGGGTGAGTTCTGAGACTGTAACTCTTCACAGGAGTAGAAAGCCCCATCATTCTAATGTGGGGCATGATGGTGGTTTCGAACTGCTGCCCTTGAGGTTAGCAGCTCAGTGTGTAAACACTACGCTACCAGACAAAATAACAAGATGTGATCCTTGTTCTCAAGATAGTCAAACTCAAAGCTTTTGAGGTTCATGACGGGGGGGGGGGGGGGGGGCACCTCGTGTAATTAATATACCGAGAACAAAATGTTATGACTGAGAGGAAAAGACCCAAACACAACAGTAGCTTAGAAAGAACCCTAGACAGGGCATTTTTTCACGAATATGCTTGATCTCAAAAATATAGGGCTTTCAGTGGCTCCAAGGTAAAAAGATGAGGGTTTCTCCTCCTGTGGCTTAGTGATTACTTTTACAGTTCAAAACCACCAGCAGCTCCTTAGGAGACAGATGGGGCTTTCTACTCACTTAAGAGTTAGTTTAAGAAACTCATGGGGGCAGTTCTATGCTGCTCTGTAGGACACCACTGACTCGATGGCAGTGAGTTTGTTTTTGATTTCTCCTTCAGTGAAGATGCACACCCCCAGAAACCCACAGGGGCAGTTATGGTTTATCCTATAGGGTCACTGTGAGTCAGAATTAACTCAATGGCAGTGAGTTCTTTTAGTTTGTTATTTGTGCTGTGATGACTAAAATTTATAATTTAAGAGCAATATTGATCTACTCTTTGTCAGGACATCAGTTAGACTTAGAATTATTTATATGGTCTTTCTCTCTTTTTGGTGTCTATATAAGATAGGCAGGTCAAGCAACCCCATGGAGACAGTGATGGTTTGGGGGGGTGGGGGGACATGGGAGAGGAAGAGGCAGGGGCAGGTGAGTGGTGAGCCAATAATGACAGGGGTAGGGGAATAATAAGGGTTATAAAATTGACAGTGAGGAGGGTGTAGCAGTCCTGGTGAGGTTAAATCAACTGAAAAGTGTCTGAGGAATTACTGAGAGGTGATCAATGGGTATAATAGTTTGGGCAGGAGAAAAGAAAAAGAAGAAAGCAAAAAATATATATATAGGTATAG